TTGCTTCAACGGATCTCAAGTGGGAAATGCAGCGTCAACAGGCGTGCCGCACGTTAGTGCCCATTCGCGAGCGCGACCGCCAAGCCTGGAGATAACCAGCACCACGCGCCGATGCTGAGACTGGAGCAGGGCCGATCCCATGACCATCTCGACCTCACGGGCCCAGAGAAGGAGATTTTCTCTATCTTGCCCCTCGAAGGTTTTTACGCTCACCATGAGCGGTTTCAGTCTCAAAGACTCTTCATGCGTCATCGACGCCGCCGCCGTTGCGGCGCTCATCTTCTCTTGGGCGTGCTCCAAAAGCGCGTTCTCGTAGCGGGAGAGCGGCTCCAGCCTGGCGGTGGGCGCCTCTAGACCTTGCGATGCAAGATAAGCCACGCCCTCCATACCAAGCAAGGACATAAGCTTAGTAAGCGCGTCCTGCTGCGCCAGGGGCAAATTCGCGAACACGGGGTGTTCCATCCTCGCAGAGGATATAGTCAACCGACTCATGAGCGGGATTGACTACAAGTGCTACCAAGTGCAGCGGGGCTGCCGTGGCTTTAGCGTCAGAGGAAGAAGTTTGACTCTAAGAGTCACTAATATTAAGTTCTTTATCCAAAGGACACTTACAGCCCAAGACCAGGGCTCAAAGTTAATACCTTAACTTTTATGCTTAAAAAACAGAAGTGTCTTATTTACAATTATTGCGGCAAAGCCGCCTAGGGGTAAATATATCTCTTTAAGTATCTAGCATAGTTAAACCTAATCAAATGCATAACGTGTGGCTTTCAGAAAACGTACTGAGAGACCTTGTTAACTCTCCAAGTTATGTACTGAGAGTATGTGTGTTCCACACCATGTAACCCCGTTACAATGATGTTCTTCCATATCAATAAATTTCTACCAATTTCTGCTATAAATAGTACCCACGTTTTGGTGCATTACTTAAATGTGTGCGAGTCCACGGCGGTGAGATTTGCACGACAGCAATATCGACGCTGTTCCTGTTCCTGAATATATGGTTGATAACCTCACTCCAGTGCAAGTTGCACTCTGACGTAATGCTTGTCACGGTCGGCTTTTTCGCTTTTTTTATATCGCGAGTGTCGTTAAACCCCAATAAGCTATAATAGCAAGAGTGCGGTTGTCTGTTATCTGTGGTTCCATTGTGGGTCTCCCGGCATTTATCCGATATTACTTTTAAGTACTTTAGTTTTCCAGCTCAATTAAAGCCATATTAACCCTATTGCAAGCCACCTTACTATAGTATATTATACAAAGATAAGAGACTTGTCACTTAAGAAGGAAAAATGCATCTTATTAGGCTGGTGATGGGCACGTCGGCTCAGCAGGCACTATAACAACCTGACCACCCCATCACCATTTTGCGGTGAACGTTCACTGAAAAGAAGCATTTTGCTTTTTTTACAGCACAACGGTACTATCAGAATATGTCCCTGATTGGATAAAACTTTGATAATGGCTCTTTTAGCCAATCATTTACCATTTGTCTTTATTGTGAAATTCTTATCCCATATGGTGTGCTGGGCAAAGTCGAGCGCATCGTCACGCTATGCTCATCGAATTTTCTTTAATGCTGCGCCTACCCGGGTCGTTCCCCAGTGATCCGCAAAACGGCGCTTGTGAGGGACCAACATCCTCGCGATAAGGAGCCCGATACAATGCACAATGTCCTCTGGCTTTATGGCCTTGTGTTTCTTGGTCTCCCGCAACATCACAGCTTCCCTAGTCTCTGCTAACTCTGCATCATCAGCCACTCGCTTCGCATGTATTCTGTCGACCTGTCCATTGAGATGCTGATGATAGTATCGATTACTCTCAGTAGCTATCCGGCGCCAAA